AGTTCATCCTGAGTCTGTCCGACATTGTATAAGACAAAAACTTTGTAGTATCTAGAAAGTGCTCATTAGTACTGGAATTAACAAACGCAATTGGAACAGACTCACCTGGAATTTTATGCAACCAGCATGTCAGTTTTGTACTGAAATCATTAATATCTAGAATTTGAACCGTAGATTTTTCAACACTATCCTCCCCCACGAAATAATGTTGGATCTTTATATCCCCAAGTTATGAATAATGTGGCTTCATTTAAAACATATTTCTCACATTGTTTAGAGTAAACATTAGAACTGTTTTTGTGATAAGAGTAAACAGCAGTTGATATGAAATCATCCGAAATGTAATCAAACTCGAGGTCGCTTAGTACTCGTGCTTCGCATTGAGCAGGTTTTTCACAAGGATCAAATGCATTATGAGGAGAGGTAATATATGATATGACATCAGGATTTGATTCTTCTGAAATATTCACATGAAATTCATTAGGACTGTCATTGCAGAGCGTAGGATTGTTAGAAAAACCAGCATCTATCCAAACCACATCAGGTTTCCGATCATGATTAGGTTCATTTAACATATTTTCCTCAATATTGCAAGTAATTTCATTAGAAATATGTGGATCATTAGGAAAAGTTATATCTCGTACAATAGCATGAGAATTCTGATAAATCGGTTGATTAGAAACTGTTGTCTCACAAGAATTCTGGATTTCATTTAACTCTGAACTGCCATATGACTCCACACTGTCTTTTGAAATCGTTGATAAAGATAAATGATCATCATGAATACTCGACTCAGTAGAATCAGAATTGCAAGACTTAATATTAGTTGCAGTAAGGTGAACATTAGCATTACAAACTGACTGAACTTGTCCAATATCATGAAATTTGAAGCACTTAGAATTACGAAGTTGACATGAATTAGAAGAGTGGAACTTGCAACAAGACAAACACTGACCAAACTTGTCCCCATCCTCGTGAACTGCATCCAAACTCAATGATTTGTCTGCATAACCTCGAGTATGCACTGGGTCAGGATGACGTGGTAATGTAGTGGTGTTTTTTATATCCTTATGAATCATTTTACGAGATCCTCCTTTACCGCATTCGAAATTTGTAAAATTAACCACTCTAAGCAACAATACAAGCATGTTCGGGATGCGATTCTCTCCCTCGAAATGCAAAATGTTGCTTCAGGATTGGGTTACATCGACACCCGAACTAGTGATAGGGAGTGAAGTAGTTGAGTGTGTCGACCGCTTCACTTATCTTGGAAGTCTCATCAGCCCTTGTGGTCTGGTGTGTGACGAAATCTCAGCACGGATACAGAAGGCTCGACTAGCTTTTACCAACTTGCGTCATTTATGGCGTAGGCGAGATATCCGTCTATCAACCGAAGGACGTGTTTACTGCGCAGAAGTTCGTTCCGTTCTACTTTATGGCAGTGAAACATGGTCGGTACGAGTAGAGGATATTCGTAGGTTACTAGTATTTGATCATAGGTGTCTTTGAAACATTGCTCATATATCATGGGACCATCGAGTAAGTAACACAGTTGTTAGGAAACGGGTACTAGGTAAGGATGGTGAATCAATTGAAGTAGTGAAACTTCATCAGATGAGATGACTGGGACACGTGTTACGTATGCCCAACGACCGACTGCCTCGACGTGCGATGTTCAGTGGTATAGGAGTAGGTTGGAAGAAAGCTAGGGGCGGCCAAACCAAAACATGGCACAAGTCCATGAAGTCACTGACAAGTGGACTGAGTCATGTTGGTAGGTGTAGACTACCTAATTGGGGACCGCGAGATGATAGCAACCGATGGTTAGGGACCCTGAATTTCATGGCTCAAAATCATTTGCAATCGCGCAGGTGCATCCACTCTTTGTGTTCTCCCAAATTCTAATCTTCTGAATTCTTCATGTCCCTTTTTTCCTCTTTCCAAATTTATTTCGCTGGATTATACTCTTTAAATAACATCTCCAAACCCTAATCTTCCCGATTACTGCTTATACTCTTGCTACCTCTACCACTACGGGATTTGAATCGACAACTGCGTCTTTGTGCTAATGTGGTGTGGCAACTCGAACTGATGTTGTTACTGACTGACTGACTGACTGACTGACTGACTGACTGACTGACTGACTGACTGACTGACTGACATAAATAACATAGTCTAGCAGCAGTTCATTGAGAGTTGTATAATGAAGAGAGATAAGCTTTTCCGGCATAAACAGAATTCTTAATAAGCTGTATGCTTCTCTCCCAATGAATGTGAGGAAGTGTGCCACAATACTAACATCCTCATCATCTTCCTTGGTCATAGCCCAGATTTCGAACCTTTCAAAGTAATCTTCAAAAGCTTCCGAAGTTGAATGAATATCTAACTTTTCCATTACAGGCTCCATCGCGACGCCAATATAATGTTTTGGATTATTTGAATTATAGCACGAACTAAGAGTCCCAGAATTAACGCAATTGAATTAAGAAGTGAGACACAAGCACAAACGAATGTATTGTATTTGGAATTCGAAATCGAGCATTCAACAAGTACAAAGGTATTATTAGTTCGTTCAAACACCACAGTATAATACAGTGAAATAAATTTGTAAAGAGAAAAAAGACAGGAACATGAAGAACTCAGAAGATTAAATTTTGGGAGAACACAAATCGTGGTTGCACCTGTGTTATTGTAAACGATTTTGTGCTATGTCATTCAAGTCTCTAACTATCGGTTGCTATCGTCTCATGGATCCCAACCAGGCAGTCTACACCTACCAATATGGCTCACTCAATCCACTTGTCAGTGACTTCATGGACCTGTGCCATGTTTTGGTCTGACCACTCCTAGCTTTCTCCCAACCTACACCTTCACCATAAAACATCGCTCATTGGGGCCATCAGTGGTTGAGCATGTATCAGCCATCTCAACTGAAGACGTTTCACTAGTTCACTAATTGATTTGTCATCCTTACCTAGTACCCGTTTCAGAACAACTGCATTACTTACTCGGTGGTCCCAAGGTATACATTGAATAGACATAGTATAGGATTAATTGTGTGCTACTTAAATAGTGACTAAGTAGTAAAATTTATTTGTATTGCTTTTCCTGTCTGATTTTCTATGTAGGATAAAATACGTCATCTTGAACAAAAATTAAGTGATGCCTTCCTGAGATCAGAAAATGATCGGTATATAAAGGATAAACAAACTGATAAAAATGATGTACTTTTAAAAGAAAATCTACATTTAAGTAATGAATTGGAAAAGTTAAGAAAATTAGCCGAAGAAGTATGTTATATTCATTTATAAATGATAATTTAATTGATAATCACTAAATAGTACTCCATCAATTTAGTAGGTAATAGAGTCTTACTAGAACCTTTGAAAGATTATATAAAAAATTTGATTGAACTCAGTGAAATCGCAGTGAAATCCAGGACGCACATTTCTTCTTCTTTGGAACTCATCAGCTGTATGCACATGCATCTCAGAGTTGATATTCACTCTTGGACTCGAACCCATTTCCGTTCGCTTCAAACATCATCTTTGCTTTGAATGCTTGTGAATTAATGCATTACACACAGTATGCACATATGCTAATAAGAGACTGATCACTTGAAGTCCTACACATTAATGGGAAGATTCAAGTAAACAGATTAAATTCATTACTTATTTTTGATGGCTTCACATTAAAGCTATAATTGGTTAGAAATTAAGCGAAACACTAAACAAAGTGACAAACTTTAACTTATAAACTTATGGATCATAATAAGCAAGTTAGTATTAATAGAGAGAAATCAGTGTTCACCTAAGACCCATATGAAATACGGTGGAGGTGAATTAGTGATTAAAACACTTAACTTCCAACTGGTATGTTACAGGTTCGAATCAAGCTCTTCCTACTTTGATTTAGGCAGCTGGGTAGTGCTGCAAGCCATTACACACAATATGTACCTCAAAGTTCAGCATATAAATTTGTACTTGGTACATGTGTTAATCAATCATATCATGCGATCGAAAGTCCTTGAAGGGAAAGAAGAGGAATGTAAAACTTTACCAATACTTACTAATGGACCACCTTACTCAGTTGATGTCTTTTGTATAGTTTTTCCTACAGCGTTTTTGATTGATAACTTTACCTACAAACACTAGCTTGTTGAGTTTTGAACTTCGATTTCGGCTGAAGTTTCTCGTTCATATACTAAGTATCTTCAGTATTATTATTACTATTTAGACACATAAACATTGGCACAAATACATATGCGCCACATAAATCATTCTATTTGTGTGAGGGCTGGAATATTGCCTGAGCGCCCAAACCGAAACAGGTGGTTTTCTTGAAGTATAGATTTTCCAAATCACCTTCAAATCACACTATCAGTGTTAATCAGTGATAACTGTTATTGTTTAAATCAAGGCAGATACACTTATGTGGGAGAATGAAGTTAAAAACTGGGACCTAGTGGTCGAAGTTCAAATGCTTTAATCATTTACTATGCTGATTTTAACATTTTATCTAAAAAGCTTATTATATATCAAAAGTATAAGCTCCATTAAATTTGATAGACTGATGGTCAGTTAGTCAGTCAGTTAGTAATAACGTAGAACTTTGTATGTACGTATATCAGTTCGAGTTGCCATACCACATTAGCACACAGATACAATTGTCGTTTCAAATCCCGTAGTGGTAAGGTGATGGTTGGACTATGTAACACCTTTATGATAAAAAAATGAATACAAAGAGCTATTGACATAGCATTTAATGAAAATTTAAAAATAATTAGACGGTAAAAATCTAAGGTAGTTGGATGATAACCAAAGTCCATGACTAAGGAACAGATGACACGGTTTGAGACTGGTTACAATGGATAAAATGTATTTATTCCTTAACTTCCTTTAGATTTTGAGTCCCGATGTTATTCGATATCTTCCATTTATTCTGTTTAAACTACTAACCTTATTTTTTAGATTTTTTTTTGTGATTGGTACTTTTATTGTGGAAAATATTTTGCTCTTCGTCTTGTCAATTACTTGTCGCTATACTAATCTGGCGAGTTGAGACTTGAACAGATGTACATTTATGCCAAGTTTTATTTTGTTCACGACTAAATGATTGATCAGTTCGAGTTCCGTGAAAGCAAAAAAAAGGGGAATTAACAAAATAACAAATATATTTAGGAAGATAGTTCAGTTCACTCAGACAAATCAAGAGCGGCAAAGCAGTAGGACCAGACATTTCAGCAGATGTACTGAAAGCAGATGTAGGAGTAACTGCAAAAATACTCCACATTCTCTTCAGCAAAACTGGGGATGAAGAACAGGTATCAACAGATTGGAAAGAAGAACACATGATAAAAACACCAAACAGGCGATCTCAGCAAGTTTGAGAACTACAGAGGCAGCACTCTTCTCCCAATGCCAGGAGACATATTCAATAGGGTGTTGTTGAACAGATTGAAGGACTCCGTAGACGCTCAACTTCGAGACCGACAGGTTGGATTCCGTAAGGATAGGACCGTGTACAGATCAAATCGCAACTCTACAGATCATTATTGAACAATCAATTGAACGGGATTCATCACTTTACATAAACTTTCTTTACTATAAGAGAGAATTTGATAGCGTGGACAAAACAACACTATGAAAGCTTCTTCGACACATTGGCGTGCCTTAGAAGATAGTCAATATCATGCGGAATTCCTATGATGGAGTAAACTGCAAAATTGTGCATAGAGAACAGCTCACAGACTCATTCGAAGTAAAGACAGGTGTCAGGTAAGAATGCTTACTCTCACTCTTTCTCTTTTTCTTGATGATCGACCGTATCATGAAGACGTCAACATCTGAGATGAAGCACGGAATACAGTGGACATCTAGGATACAGTTGGACGATCTATACTTCGCAGATGATCTGGCCCTTCTATCGCACACACAACAACAAATGCAGAAGAAGACTACCAGTTTAGCAGCAGTAGGTCTCATTATACACAAAGGGAAAAGCAAGATTCTCCAATACAACACAGTATGCACCAGTCAAATCACAATTTACGGAGAAGCTTTGAAGGATATGAAAACTTTTACATATCTGGACAGCATCACTGATGTATACGGTGGATCTGATGCATATGTGAAGGCGCGAATCGGCAAAGGAAGATCACCATATCTACAATTGAAGAATATCTTTAAATCGAAACAACTATCAACCAACACGAACGTCAGAATTTTCAATAAAAATGTCAAGACAGTTCTACTGTATGGGGTGGAAACTTGGAGAACTACCACAACCATCATCCAGAAGATGCAGGTGTTTATTAACAGTTGTCTACACATAATACTTCGAGTCCGTTGGCCAGACACCGTCAGCAACAACCTACTGTGGGAAAGAACAAATCAGATTATAGCGGAGGAAGAAGCTCTGGAAGTGAATAGGACACATATTGAAGAATGCACCTAACTGCGTCACAAGGCAAGCCCCCATCTGCAATCCTAAGGGCCAAAAGAGTGGAAAAAAACGAAAGAACCTGTTTCGTCGAGAAATGGATACAGACATAATAAGAATGAACAACAATTGGAGAGAACCAGAAAGGAAGGCTCAGGACAGAATGGTTTGGAGAATGCTGTTTAGCGGCTAATGCTCCATTGGGAGTAACAGACGTAAGTAAGTAAGCTCAGCTCACAAATATGTGTACCTAAAGACCACTAAAATAATAGTAATTCACTCAATGTTTTTATCTTCTGCTCAGTCTCAGTCTTTATTTGAACGAAGTCAATTGAAACAAACAGAAGATATCGCCGAATTGAACCGATTAAAACAACGAGAAAATGAATTAATGCATATGAATGCAATGCTTCGTCAAGATGTATTGCAGAAATCTAGAGAGAACGAAAAGCTTCAACAAGAGGTATGTAAAAAGGAGGTTATGTTTCATTGATACAGTAACTATTACAAATCATCAGTTATCGTTCGTAATTCCATCAAGTAATAAACCCAAAATCTTCAGATCATGCGGCGAGCATATAACCGTCAAATTACTGAATCACGATACTAAGGTTTACATTTCTAACTTTAATCAATTTGCGATAGAGTACGACGATCATTTCATGTCATTTGGGATGACTGTTTTGAGTTTGACACTACTGGGATTCACCGGGACTCATCTACAAACAGGCCACTAGCAAGCACAAACACTTTTTTACGGTTTAGTGGAGAGAATTCTCATTTGTATTTGATTTTTGCCACAGACTGACTTGAACATCTTGTCTTTGATTTTTCAAAATGGTTGTAGGTGCCCACTACGAAAGCACTTTACTCTGAAACATAACAGGTCTCTGATAATTTTATATGCTCCGAAAATCATCATTATATAAGCTGTCTGACTTCGTATGAGTATAGAAAAGATTTTCTTATCAAGTAAAACCCTTTTTTCTATCGTATAAGGATGTTGGGAGGGTTATTACGATTGAAGTGCTGTTTTCATATGCAGAAGCAACTAGAGTAGGCAAGAATAATAAAGAGAGAGCATTAGCCAGGTTTAAATGGCTAAGAGGAAGATACTTCAAAATTTCAAACTCATTAGTCGGTCTAACATCCGTATCTTTTGTTTGAGAACTAGTTTAATTATTCATCTGCCAACAACTTTGACGTAGCTTGTTGCATTAAACCCTATTGTTGGACGATCTTGGCCCATATTCATACTAAAGACGCAACAAATTCCTTTAATAATTAGCAATACTAAAAAGCCAATTTTATGCTGTATTAAATTATTCTAAAATGTGTATAATAAAATCCTTTCTGATGCGTAAAATTGTCAGATGATGAATAATAGGAAGTAGTATACCGTAAATGTATCCCCACGGTCTTTAGACAGTTTACGTCTTTAGGCCTCGCGCTATAAATGAAGTTGACTGAGGTTTGAGGAGAACTTTGTAACTCATTTAAAGTCATGAATTATAGACACCTTTTAATCACAATTAATGTGGAATCACCCAGACCAGATAAAACATTGTCACATATTTGTGGAGTCTCAAGATTTTAAGCATGAGTGTCTAAAAGTTGATAAAAATGAATATTACCTCATCAGTATGAATGATTTAGGTACGACTCATCTTACAGACCAATAATAACACACATTTCTCCAAAATGTAATAATGTTCCACCAACATCATGGTAAAAGTTAATGTTGTTGATTAGTTCATTTCCTTAACTACATCGTGGAAAATGTGATTCAAAATTGCCTGAACAAAATTATTACAACACAAAATGTTGGATTTCTGAAGTTTATCCCCTACATCATACAGTATTTTTGAAGCACATAACTACAATTTACATTAGTATTTCTTGGTAGTTTTTATACGTGATCATTTAATAAGTACTTTTTATGCTAATTGAATCAGCTTGCTTATCAAGAAAAAACGTCTGATAGCTTGTTATCAGGAAAACAAATCCAACCAGATTTAACTCAACAGTTTGAAGCTTTGAAGAAGGAACGTCAAATATTTATTGAAAATATGAAGAAGATTAATGAAGAGGTATGTCTCATATATGTAAAACAAACACATTCCTAGAAAGTCAGTCAGTCAGCTACAACGTAGGACCAGGGACATATACGCATCGGTCCAGGTTGCCATACCTCATTAGCACAACAAGATGAACACCGGATCCATAGGAGTGGTTAGGTCAAAGGTTGCAATAAGGATATAGCATAGGAAGGAAGAATTAGTTCGTAGAAAGAAAGATATGAAGTGATTTTAATCTCTTAGTTTAAGGGAAGACAGGGAGTGTATACACCGACGCCATTGTGATCGATTCTGAGCCATGTCACCAAGAGTCTCCAACCATTGGTTACGAAAGTCACGCGGACCCCAACCAAGTAGTCTGCATCTACCAACATGGCTAAGACTAGAAGTTAGTGACTTCAAGCACTGATGCCACGTTTTGGTTTGGCCGCCCCTAACTTTCTTCCAACCATCCCCTACACCGGTTAGCATTGCACGTCGTGGTAATCGGTGTTCAGGCATACGTAATACGTGGCCCAACCATCTCAGTCGATGAAGATTCATAACCTCATCAACTGATTTACCATCATTCCCTAATACCCTACGTCTAACCTCACTATTACTTACCCGGTGATCCCAGCAGATGCCAGCAATATTTCTAAGGCATCTGTGGTCAAATACTTGTAGCTTACGGGTGTCTTCTACTCTTAAAGGCCATGTTTCGCTGCCGTAAAGTAAGACAGAACGGACTGCCGCGCAGTATACTCGTCCTTTTATTGATAGACGGATATCTCGCCTCCGCCAAAGGTGACGTAAGTTGGCAAAAGCCAAACGAGCTTTTCGAATCCGTGCTGAGATTTCGTCCGATACCAACCCATTAGGGCTGATCAGACTTCCAAGATAAGTGAAGTTGTCAACGCGTTCGACTACTTCACTCCCTATCCTTAGTTCAGGTGTTGACGCAGGCCAGTCCTGAAGCAACAACTTGCATTTCGAGGGAGAGAAGCGCATCCCAAACATTCTGGCATTGTTGCTCAGTGCTACCAGAAGACTCTGCATTTTGTCAGCGTCTTCACGAAACAGGACTATGTCATCTGCGTATTCTAAGTCGATAAGTGGACCTCTTGGTAGGAGATCAATACCCGAGAATTCAGTCGACGAGAGTGTTATTTCCATCAATAGGTCTATGATGAAGTTAAACAAAAATGGAGAAAGTGGACAGCCTTGACGGACACCACTTGAAGTTGCAAAAGTAGATGACAGTTCGCCATAAGCCCTGACTCGACTAGTAGTGTTCGAGTAAAGAGCCTTTACAAGGTTTATGTACTTCTGAGGTACGCCTTTCAATGACAGACACTGCCACAGAGTCTCGCGGTCTACAGAGTCAAACGCTGCTTTTAAGTCAAGAAAGACCACCATCGTCGGACGCCGATAGGTATGCCTGTGTTCTAGAACCTGACGAATGGTGAATATGTGGTCGATGCAGCCACGACCAGGTCTAAAGCCAGCTTGGTTCTCTCGAGTTTGTAGTTCACGAGTCTTAGTTAGGCGTCTGATAATTATCGAGGCCAGTATTTTAGATACTATGTTTGTTAAACTAATCCCTCTGTGGTTGTCACAGGATGATTTTTACCCTTTCTTATATATTGGGACGATAAGTGATTGCGACCAGTCAGATGGGATAAAGTCTAATTCCCAGATCTTAGCTAAAATATTAGTCAACCTAATCGCTAAAATTGGACCACCATCCTTAAAGACCTCTGGAGCCAATCCATCTGGACCAGCTGTCCTTCCTCGTTTCAGATTAACTATAGCCTTTTGAACTTCAGCAAGAGTTGGGGGACCTACTTCAATGTTCCATTCACATTGTCTGGGAATGGAGGGTAGTTGTAGAGTAGCTGAAGGCCAGCTGAATTGTTCTCTGAAATGTTCCGCCCATCGTTCTAAACGTCTGGACTGGGAGCAGATGAGTGTATCGTCTTTTTCCGAAGTAATCTCACTTACACTTGACTTATTAGTTCCTGTTTCTTTATTAGTCTGTAAAGCTGTCTTGTGTTCCCTATAGTCGCCGCCCTTTCCATCTCTTTTGCTTTCGTTACCCACCACTGCTCACGGTCGTTCCTTAGACTTTTTCTTAACCTAGATCTGATTTGTTTTCGCTCTTCATCATGTTCAGAACCTGATGGGACGAGTTTGCGAGAATCCATCAGTGTGACAGACCTTGAAGAAATCCACTGGTTCCTTGCAACTCTGTGGTTTAAGTCACTAATAGATGTCACTGCTGTTTCCACAGCTGATTGTATGCCCTTCCAAGCAACATCTGGGTCAGTCTCGTCTTCACAACTACCTAAGTGTGACCTCAGTTGTTCCTGGAACCTCAACTCAGTTCTAACGGGTCTTTTTAATGTGGCTTTTTTGCGTCCAGTGAGGCGCAAGCAGATGCGTGCCCGTATTAGGGCATGGTCGGAGTCCAAGCAGGTACTCCAGAACGAGCGACAATCTTCTACCGACCCTCTCCAACGATGACTGATGGCAATATGGTCTAGTTGAGTTGATCGTTGGTTTGGTGCAGGGTGTCGCCATGTTAGACGATGTCTCTCCTTATGCTTAAAATTTGTGTTTGCTAAAAATAAACGATTGTCTGAGCATAGCTGCAGCAGACGATCACCATTATCTGTTCGCTGTGTCGGAATACTAAAATATCCACCTAAATACCTTTCTGTTTGGTTTAAGCTACCTATCTGAGCATTAAAATCACCTGCTACGAGTACTATGTCTGAGCGTTTAGCTTTCTGAAGAAGTTCAGAAAGCTTTCCGTAAAATTCATCTTCCACATCATCTGAGCTGCAGTCAGTGGGAGCGTAGGCAGAAACGACGAATAGGCAACGACGTGTGTCCCTATCCTTCCGAGTTCTTACGTAGCCGTTCAGCCGAACAGCACATAGACGACTGTTGATGGGGATCCACTCTAGCAGTGCTTGTTCCGCCCTCATGCTTAGTGCTATGTCTACACCTACCAGTCCACGAGAACTGGCCATCGGGTCACCAGATACACGTAGGGTGTATCTCGTTGGCTCTCCGTTTTGCCGAGGTGAGGTCAAGTGAATGACCACACTGGGATCCTGTATGCGTGTTTCAGAGACACAGCATACATCAATGGAAAGAGACTCTAGGGTTTTAGCCAAGGAAGCCTGCTGACCGATTTGACATAGAGTGCGTACGTTGAAAGCTCCAATGTGTAGTTTGGAGCGAGGTTTCAGTAGACCTGGGACAGAGTTTCGAGCACTCGAATCGTTGGCTATGGTGACACTTGAGGAGGAAGTTTAGGGTTGAAAGTCGATGTAGGAGGAATAATAGGAATTGAAGAGGAAGGTTGATTATGAATACAGTGGTCTTGGGTGCTGTTAGAGGTATGAGGGCGGTTATCACTTCACGGTTGCCCACACCGTGGAAGGGTTCTTCTGGAGGTACCTGAAAAGGAAATTGGATTAGAGGCAGTCTCAGTGACCTGAGAGCGTGACCGCAGTGCCCAAGGGACAACCGCTTGAGGCCGGTCGCGCACGGCCTTTTCGTGGAAGGTTTTCGACGTGTTAGCTCCGTTCTTCAAAGGGCCTTACCGCCGGAGACGGAAGTCCGTGAGGTAAGGTGAGGTGTGCATTTTTAGGGTCGACCTTTTCTAACCCCACCCCTCCTTGTGGGAAGGCAGCATCGCTGTCGTGCTGGTTGTCTGAAGGAAACACCTTACTGCTGTCACACCTCTGTACAGTCAGCAGTCCGACTTCGCCTTCGGACCTTGGGTTTGTTGCTTTTAGTCTTACCGCTCTTCAACCGACCTGTCTGACATGGTAGGACCTTGAGGAACGGTTGTTCCAGCCAGTATAGCTCGATTGCTTCATCACGATAGGCAAGCCCGACCACTACGTCAAGGTAGCAACAACGGTCGGGTATTCCTAGAAATCAAAAAGATGATTAAGAATCTATCAGATAGTTTATACCTCATCCTTATCTATTTGATGTAACGTAATTGTTATATTTTAGCAGGCCATTTACAGCTATGAACTTATGTACTTGCGCCTGATACCCCTCGTGAAGTAGCAGAGGCCGCTCACCGGCATTCACCACCAAAATCTGTCCTGAAAATCCTTTCCAGTTGCTATTCACCCTTTTAATGTCTACTTCTGATTCTCGATGCAGTGTGTTCATTGGTCTTCCTCTTTTCCTTTTCCCTTCAGGATTCCAAGTTAGCGATTGCCTCGTGATTCAGTTTCGTGATTTCCTCAATGTGTCTTATCCACTTCCAACGTCTTTTCCTAGTCTTCTCTTCAAATAGAAGCTGGTTTATTCTCTCCTACAGTACACTGTTGCTGATGGTGTCCGGTGAACAGACACTGTGTATCTTACGTAGACGATTGTTTATAAACACTTGTACATGTTTGATGATTATTGTAGTGGTTCTCCATGTTTCAGCTCCATAGAGTAGAACTGTCTTGATGTTCGCGTTGAAGATTCTGACTATGATATTGGTTGACAGTTGTTTGGAGTTCCATATGCTCCTAAACTGTGGAAATGCCGCCTTAACTTTGCCAATACTTGCCTTTACATCTGCATCGAATTCTCCTCGCTCATCGATCACACTGAACATGTCATGTACGTGAAAGTTCCCACCTGTTCCAGGGTGTCTCCATCAAGTGTGATTGGGTCGTTTGGTGCTCTCCGTGTTGTATTTGAGGATGTTGGATTTTTCCTTGTATATGTTAAGGCCTACTGCTGCAGGGGCTGCTGCTGCAACACTAGTTGATTTAATTGACATTTCTTCATGTGTATAGAACAGGAGAGCCAGGTTATCTGTGCCGTCCAAATCGGCTATTTGTATTCAAGCTGTCCACTGTATTATTTGCGTCCCTTGGGATGTGTAGGACTTCGTTATCCGGTGAACCGCCCGAAGAAAGAGAAAGGGAGTAAGCAGCCTTGTAGCTGTTCTATGGCATATATCTCTTTTAGCGTTACTCCCGATCTCAAGCCCGGGTAAAAGAGGAAGGTTGGGCACCATTCCACAGAAAGCAACCATTCTAAAAAATGCTAACCGGAATAGACAAATTAAACAGCTATGCACTGGTCTCAAAATATTATTGGTCAGTGTCAACAGCCATATCCACCGTCGATGTTATATATTTAATGTTCTCCCTTTTTAGCCGACGCTTGAGAATAGCTGTCGATGATATGGATGCATTTAGGGCTGCGGATCTTTATGAAGAAAGGTTTATCAAGCCTGCATAAGGATAGCAAAGCCAAGTGATCAGAGAGCATTGTAACGTTTGAAGTACCAATTTTAAGAGACGGCTACTGGAAATCGCCCTAATTTATTTGAGTTATTAGCAGGAGGAAATCATTGGTGTAGTAACAAAACGTCAGGTTTATGACGTGTCGATTATCATTTTACAAATACGTTTCGAGCACTGGGTAGAGAAGTGGCTAATCACCCCATTAAGGTCATAAGAAGATAATTCTGCACTGTTTATAACTGCCAGTTTCGTCCTGTTTCCATATTCCTCTTTCAGTTTCATGTCGTCAATATTCCAAAAGCAATTTCAGATGAAGTACATCATGACATATACCTGTTATCCGAACACAGACCTTTCGGTCTCTTGTACCGACGATATTCAGTGACAAACAATGTATTACGAATTGAGTGAAGATGGGGAATTCAGACCAGTGGTCTGCTATTCATTTTGGTAACCGAAGATCTTCAGACAATTACTGCCTGGGAGACCCTAACAAAAATTTAAAAAGCCGTCCAGTGCTCCCTGTTTCTTGATGTTTCCTTAGCTTGATTCACTGTGTGATAAAAGTCATTCTCAAAAGTAAGATCGAAGGTGAATAGGTAGGGTTAGTAACAATCAGTACATATCAAGTCGACTATCATATGGGCTGAATAGGCTCAATAATCACAAGACAATATCGTAACAACGATTATCTTTATTTAGTAAATGTTATATTAACTAGAAATACAGGAAACAGTAGTATTAAGAATTCAAATAAGGTCACAAAATGTTGCCTCATAGTGTTGT